ACTGAGTCTGCTGGACCTGAGGACTGAGTCTGCTGGACCTGAGGACTGAGTCTGCTGGACCTGAGGACTGAGTCTGCTGGACCTGAGGACAAGAGACAGGACTCAGAGTCTGCTGGACCTGAGGACAAAGACAGGACTCAGAGTCTGCTGGACCTGAGGACAAAGACAGGACTCAGAGTCTGCTGGATCTGAGGACAAAGACAGGTCAGCATGGAGGACTGTACATAAGGAGCTCAGACTGGTCCAGGTTGGTCTCTGGTCCTCAGAGGACTCACCAGGATCTTATTGGAGTCACTGAGTCGTCCCCTCAGAGCCACAGGAAGCTCTCCCAGGTTGGCTGTGATGAATTTAGCCTCAGAGATGATGGCAGCAGCTTCATCCAGACCCTCCTTCCTGATCTTCCAGTTCTTGTCTCCGATCTTAGAGACCAGGTCTGACGTGATCTTATCACTGACAGGAAGACACAAACATTTAAACATTAATTACTTCTGACAGAAGAGATGTGAGCCGAGTTAAAACAAAGTCCAAACAGTCTGGTATTTACCTACACAACACACACACACACACACACACACACACACAAAAACTACTTGACATACCTACCTGACATAACTACACAACAAAACTACTAGATTAAAAACTACCCGACATAAAACTACACAACAAACTACCCGAATAAAAACTACACAACATAACTACACAATAAAAACAAACATACAGTAAAAAAGGTAAAAACTGTATCTTGTAAATAAATAGTTTTTGATAATACTATCAACACAGTATTGAAATAAAAAGATTTAAACATCACAAAAACATTTGAATTTCCTGTGAAAACAGAAAACTGACAGCTGAACTGTTAAGTTTGAGCCAAAAAGAAACCAAATTCTAGATAAACGCAGCTGCTGCTGCTGCCGCCCCCCCCGCCTTCATGGAAAACCCTGGAGACCACTTCCTTCGGTTCTTACCTTTAGTTTGACATGCTTACAAAATATTTTAACTGTTAAGGGGTTAATTATCATTTTCAAATCCAGCATTATTTTTTATTTTCCTCATTAAATGCTATCAGGTAAAAAAACATTTTAAAATAAAATTCAATAAAATAAAAACGTGAGGCAAGAAAGAAAAATTACAAAAGTAAACTTTGTTTTAGAAAAGATAAAAACCAGTAAAGTAGATTTTCAGATAAATGTTGGACCTGATATCTGTTCGGGGCAGGAGGTCCATGATGTCCTGCCCTCCTCCTCCTCCTCCATCTTCATCCTGCTCCTCTCCATCGTCTCCCTCGTCCTCAGCAGCAGACGTCTTCTTGGTAGCTCTGGTTGGAGCTGGAGGAGACTGGCCCTGCATCTATGAGACAAACAAACCTTGATTTTCCCGCTCAGACTGAAGCTCCTGAACGCCTCAGACACTTGGTTACCTTTTCAAACTCGGCGTCGATCTGAGAGAGGAGCGCCGGCTTCTCGTCCTCGAAGAACACGCGCAGCGGCGCGCCCATGTACAGGAACATGACCCCCAGCAGGGAGATGGCGGCGGTCCGGACGGCCGGGTTTGTTGCTGCCAGAGCCGTCTTCACGTTGGTGATGAAAGCTTTCACGTTGATGCTGCGGAGCAGGGCTCAAAGGTCAACGAAGGCCGGCTCCTTTCAGAGAAGAAAACTAAAAGAACTCACCCAGCGAAGCCGAACTCCTTCATGGCGTTGGCCAGCCAGTTCAGCGTCTCCGCCTGGTTCTTGGGGTTCTTCTGAGTGAACGCCGTGGAGACCACCTGACACACAAACCAGTTAATCACGTGTTCGTCAGCGGCTCAGGTCGTCACGTCTCGTCCAGATACTGCACCTGCTCCGCGGTCCATGGCAGCGAGCACGCCTCTACGATGGCCGTCAGAGCTTCTTTGGCGTTCCCGCCACATTTCACGTCTCCGATCTTGTCCACCAAACCGTCCAGAACCACGGAGGCCGAGGTCTTGGAGAACTGTCCCCTCCGAGCAACCAGAGCCACGACGTGGAGCTTCATCTGCATGACCTGCAGGTCACATGATCAGAAGGGTCAGAGGTCATCACAGAGCCTCCAAACTCAGGTCAGTCAGGTTAGTGTGAGGTGTGGGCGGAGCCTGAGCGTTTAGGAAGTAGAACTGCAGCAGCTGATGTCCAGCTCAGAGAAAACATCTCTACACTTCACATCTTTACTGCAGTTTATTTTTATTTTAAACTCCAGACAGTTTCAATCATCATGAAATAAGCTTGTAGAGGAGAGCAGTTTGTTACCTGAAAGCTGACAGGAAATGTTTGGATTTAATGGTTTAAATTATCTTTAGGATCCATCCTGTGATGATTTTAAATCACTGCTGCTGTTTTGTGACAACTTCTAAAAAACATTTTGTGGAGAAGAAGCTTAATTAAAATTTACAGATTCTGCCTCTTCCTGACTGCTTATTGTGTGATGATCTTTAAAACATTGTCAGAGTGGTTGAATACCAATCTGCAACTAATGCTGCTATATTTGGTGTCAGTGATAAAAACCTAATATATCTGGAAATCAGTGCTGATAAACCTAGACAAACTCAAAACCATACCGTCATTGAGCCCATTTTATTTCATTTCATTATGTATTTATGTAAAAAAAATTTCTGTTGTTTTGTTTTCTTCCTTCTTTGTCTTAAAGTTGTTTGTCCATACACAATAATTTAAACATGGGGTCTTTTCAGCAATGCACAGTTTAAAGACTTCTTTAGATGAGTGTCTCTGGTGGGTTGAATGTTTGACATATTACTTTCTAAAGTGATGTCCATCAAAAAGTACATTTAGATATTTATACTCAATAAGTATAAATTTGTAACGGAGTACACAGACATATTTCGTTTCTAGCCGCCTGTTTATGTGCTTGAATCAAAAACAGCTGCATCGTCTCCAACTTGTTCAGAATTCTGCAGCTAGACTTTAACTCGAACACCTAAATCTAGTCACATCACTCCGATGCTTTCAGAACTTCATTGGCTACTTGTTTATTTTAGGATCCGGTTTAAAATCCTGGTTCTTACATTTAGAGCCCTAAGAGGCCAGGCACCTGCCGATGTTGGGGACATGCTCTCCACATACAATCCAGTCCGCTGCTTGCGCTCTCAGAATCAAAATCTATTAGCCGTTCCTCCAACACGCTATAGGACCCGTGGCGACCGGGCTTTTTCGTTTGCAGCCCCTAGCCTCTGGAATGACCTTAACTTTGAGGTCTGTTCCATCAGTGATGTCGAATTATTCAAAAAGGGCTTAAAAACCTTCTTTTTCCAATAAGCTTTTAGCTAGATGTTTTGGCTTCAGTTGTTGAACTCGGTGCCTGTTGTGGTAGCTGAGTTTTCTCTTGCCTTGGTCCAAGTTCGATTTACATTTTTCTGTAAATGTAATATGTAAATATAAATAGGTTGGTATTTTATTTTTACTGCTTTTTTCATTTGGCTCAGTGTTGTTGCTGATACACCTTTTGGGTTGGAAATACCGGACGGCTCCATGATATTTTTATTGCGTTGTTGTTTTGAGTAATTTTGTATTGTACAGTACTTTGTGAAGTTATTTCTATGAAAAGTGCTTTATAAATAAAATTTTACTTACTTACTTATGTAAAAATATGAGCAACATTAAAAGGATGTCTTTTGACATGTATCTGTTTATATAATGGTGCTCAATAAAAAATTAGATTCTTTTTACAAAATCATGAAAAATTCAACTAATCCTTGTAAACCTTTATGAAGTCTTCAGGGGTCTCTTGTACTGCAGACTTATCCAATGTCCAATAAACAAAGCAGATTTCTGCAGAGTTTGTTTATATTTGTGACTTGGAGCTGTCGTTGTTGTTGTTGTTGTTTACCTGGAAGTTTGTCTCCTTCCAGCCTGGTTTCTTGGCCAACATCCTGACTAAAGCCTGGCAGGGCATCACAGCTCCGTCCATGGTCTCCACGGCCTGCAGGATCAAACAGACTCAGTCAAACACCTGTCACCTGATCCAGGTTTGAGTCCTCAGAACTGGTCTGGTTACCCTCTGGAACTCCTCCATGCTGGCCAGCCTCTCCTTCCAGTTGGTCGAGTCCAGCTGCTGCAGACAGGAAGCAGGAAGTACGCCCGCTGCCAGGTCCTCGCACGCCTCCGGCTGAGGGAACATTTAGAGCATCAGAAACATCAGATCTGGTTTTATTTGGACCAGAACCTCTTTAATGTTCTTTAACTTACAGAGAGTTCTGTCTCTGTGACCTCTTTGCTGTCGGAGGTTTTCTTTGCTTTGCCTCCAGCTGCAGACGCTGCTTTGCCTTTTTTAGCCGGAGCAGCTGAAGCCTGCAGGAAACAAAGCGTGAGCTGAAGGTTCTGCTGGGGGAACCTGGGGGGAGTCGGGGGGATACCTTGCTGGATGCAGACGCTTGGGTCTTCTTAGGAGGAGCAGATCTGGACGGAGGCTCAGCAGCAGGAGGAGCTTTAGCTGCAGGTTTCTTCTCTGCTCCTCCTCCTCCTGCAGCTCTCCTGCCTCCTGGCAGCTCCACTTTCTCAGCACACTCTTTGATCTGTTGAGGACAGACGGTTAGGAGCTGAAATAAAAACCTGCCGGTGCTGCGTCTGCACTGCTCACCTTGTCCAGTTTGAGTTTATCCAGGTCGGCCAGGAACGGGTTCACAGCCTTTTCTCCCACCACCTTCATGGCCGTCCCCAGAGCCTCGAACGCAGCGTCTCGGACCTCCGGTGCTGAGTCGTTCACTTGCTGAGACGGTTGGGAGAAGAGAGGTTTTAAAATAATTTATTTCTGCGCTGCGGAGCAAGCTTATAATAGTTTAGGATTTTATTTATTATAGTTTAGTTTTAGTTGATTGTGACTTTATCATTTAATTCAGTTACTGTAGTTTTAACTAGTTTTTATTAGTTATTATTGCATTTTTAATGCTTAGTTTTAGTTTTTATTAGTTATTATTGCATTTTTAATGCTTAGTTTTAGTTTAGTTTTTATTAGTTCTTGTATTCGTTTTTTATAGTTTAAACATATTTATCAATCCATCCTCCAGCTTGTGATGTTCCTGTGAGTTAACTAACCAGCAGATATTTGGTCACTAGTTAAATCAGTCCATTATAKCAMCACCTTCCTAAAATAATTGTGTAACTTAATTTTACCAAGTAAAAACTTGGTGATTATTTTAGGACGATGACAATAGTTGTCTCCAACCTGCTGCTACCTGTTGTTTGTTTTTCATGGAGCTACTGAGAGAAGCTAACGTGTCAGATAGTCACAGTTAGCATCTTGTGTGAGTTTGATTCATGCAGTTTTTCTCTTCAGAAGTTTTCCACCTGTTTTATCACCTGTTTCCACTACAAGACACTTGATTTGATTTTTCAGCCAGATTCAAAGAAATCCCAAAGTGGACGTTGTTGTTTTCTCCCAACTGTTGTTGTCATTCAACAGGTGATGCTGAGCAGCAGCAGACTGTAAACAAGTGTTGTTACAGACCACAGCTGATGGCAAACTACTCCATTAAAATAAACTGAAACACTAAAACTAAGGATATTCTGTCTATAATTACAGTTAGTTTGAGTTAGTTATTGTTTTTTCATTTTATTGCAGTATTTATTCACTTTAGTTACTAAAATGTTTTTTTCAGTTTCAGTTTTTGTTAGTTTTAGTGAACGATAAGCCTGCAGCAGAGCAGAGAGCTCACCTTGATGAGCGCGGCACACAGAGGCTTCAGGACGCTCTTGGGCAGCGTGGCCTGGGTGCAGTGTCTGAAGGACCGGGCCAGAAACAGAGACGCCTGCTGCTTGATGGACGGGTTCTTGTTGTCCATCACAGCCAGGACGTCCTCTGAAAGGTTCTGCAGAGTCGTCTGAGGACAAAAACTCTCCGTCACAAACAACTATCAGGTTACAAAAAGAGCAAAAACTAAATAAAAACATGAGCCAAGATAAGAGAAACAGAAAAATTCAGTTCTTTTCACCAGAAAAACTGAGAATTAATGAAAACTCTTAGTGGAGGAAAAGATCTGATTCATTATTTCATCAGATTCAAGTGAAATTATTGAAATGATTCTGTTGTTAGTCTGCCACTAAATAAATCTCAAAACTTTAATCTGTCCTTACAGTGAGAAAGATGGCGTCGATGGCCTCCTGCAGGGCCTGGACCACCTGAAGCTTCTTCTCCTTGAACTTCTCTAGAATGGTTGGGACCACCTGAGAACAGACAGCTCTGTGAGGGAACAGGTCCAACACCTGGTTCTGCTCAGGTCAAACAGAACTGCAGAGGTTTTTCCACCAACCTGTCCTGCATACGAGCCAAACTTCTTCCTGAGACCCGAGGCCAGCCCGGCCAGACATTTAGCTGCCATGGATACTAGCATCACGTTAGCATCCTTCCCCACCACCTGGAACCAGAACAGAACCCTCTGAACCCAGACTGGACCTTCTGTCTGCTCAGAACTGAGCCTTTCTCCAAACAGACGTGGTTCAAGCAGGGTTCCTACAGTTTCAGTTAAATTTAAGACCTTTTAAGACTTTAATGACAAATTACATTAAATTTAAGACCAATTTCACAAAAAACACAAAGGACAAAAAATAAAACCTGGCAGAAACTCATGAACCTAAGTATTTTTGGTTGAAGTATTTAAATATTCCTAAAAAAAACAATTGTTTTTACTCATATCTAACTGGTTTTTTTTTTTTTGTCAAATATAGCAGAAACATTCTTAGCAGTCAGTTTTAAACTTAATTCCTGGAAATTGTCTAATGACCGAAAATTTGGGGTTTAGGACCCACAGTGGGTTCTCAACCCCAGCTTACTGTAGATGAAACCTTGAAGCGCCTGGGACATCATGTTTTTTTGTAAGAAACGTGAATACATTTTTGGAAAGACAACATTAATAACACATTATGAAATGAATGTCATGACGCTCAGATGAACAGTTGTTGAGATATTTGCATGTGAAGTAACAGGAAGTGATGTCAAAGAGGAATGTCTGCCTGTGAACGTTAAAAAAAATAAATAATTGTTACCAATTATTTTAATATTTGAAATGAATTACAGTCATCCTACTTGTATTGTGTTTACATTTTTAAGACTTCTGAAGATTGATTTAAGACATTTTAAGGTTAATTAAGGCCTTAATTTTGGATCAATGAATTCAATGACTTTTAAAACTTTTTAAGGATCTGCAGGAACCCTGTCAAAGAGCCATGTACAACAGGTAAGATGTTCACTATTCACAAGTCTCCACCTGAAAGTGTTCATATATAGGAGCTCTGACTCAGACAGGAAGGAACCTGAACATTAGGAGGAAGAATAAAAACGTTCACTTTAACATAAACCAGATGTTCCAGAACAGGTCTGTGGTCCTGACCTTCTTCAGGGCTCGGACCAGGTCTCCATAGTCTCCATTCTCCAGTTTGGGGTACTTGATCAGAACCTCGATGGCTTCAAGAGCTTCTTTTCTCTCCTGCCACTTCTTAGCTTCCTGCAGAGACGAAAACAAACTCGTGTTTCTGGAAACTTGTTTTTATCAGAAACAGTTCTTCAATCTTTGGTCGTCAGCTCTAAATAAGAAAAGAAAACCAAACGTACGATCTTCTCGTAGAAATCTTTGGGCATCTTGGAAAGAATCTCCACAGGTTCCATCAGATCGTAGGGATCCACAGCTGCTACCGTTTCCGCCTCATCCTCTCCTGGAGGAAGAGCAGAACAAAGCATGACTGTGTGGCAGCAGGAGCAGCAGGAGTAGCAGGAGCATGGATCTGAGCTGGGACCGGCCCCACCTTCAGACTGAGCTCCTCTCTGAGCTTGTTGCTGCTCAAACTTGGCCTTCAGGTCCTGCTGCGAGCGCAGGAAGCGGCTCTGCTTGGGAGGAGACGAAGGCAGCTTGGCCCACTCCTCCTCCAGCTCTTTGAGCTGCAGAGGAGAGACGGGTCTGAGTTAACGGGTCAGAACTGTGTGATGAGGAGGAGGAGGAGGACCCACCTGTACAGAGGTGATGTTCTGCAGCGGGGGTCTCAGAGCATCTCGGATCCACCTGTAGACCTCCACAGCGAGCAGCTTGGCCTCGTCCCTCACAGCCTTCTCTCTGGACTCGAACTGTTTGGATAAAACCTTCACCACCGGCTTCAGCGTCACGATCTTTGATCCAAACTCACTGCAGGAACCAGAGAGAGAAATGACCTGTCCTCTTCAAATATTCAACAAAAACCTGACGGATCATTAGAAGAGCTGATTCAGCAGTTTTGTCTGACACCACATTCACCTGAACACAATTAAATCTGATTTTACTGGAAAATAAACAAACCCTGAAGGTTCAGACACTGAACACCCAGAATTAAAGTGCCTGTCACATCATGAATGCACCTTTAAAAAGATAATAGCATATTGCAAAAAAAAAAAAAAAAAAAGATTCTACGTTGCTGAGATGAACAGTTGTTGACATATTTGTATGTGAAGAAACAGGAAGTGATGTCAAAGGGGAATGTTGAATGTGAACAGATCATTGCTACAACCATAGATATACAGTATAAAAGGCTAGATAAGTCATAGTGGAGTCTCCTCACACGGCAGCCATCTTAAGACAGTCAGCAACACTAACTGTGGTAAATGCACTGAGTGATTTCCACTAAATAAAATATATGTAATTCACTGAAACCTTGATGGATTTACAAAAAGCTTAGTTTATTATAAGAGTTAGATGGCTATGATTTGGAGTAATCAGACAGCAGTTTGTCTTTTCTTTAAAGTATTAGTTAGTATTATTTAGGACTAATATTAGTTAATAAAGGCACATCATAGTCATATTTGCATGTGTGGGAAACAACTGGGCATAAATTAGTTCATATTAACTACTATTACTATTTAATATGAAATATTATTACAATATTATTTATCAGCATTCAAAATGTCAGTTACTTTTTCAGTATATAAACATGCATTTCTAAATACATGTAAATACTTCTTATTGTGTATATTGCAGTTGCTTTACCTACAGTATCTTCAGTGTTATTTCCATGTGAACATCCAGTTTAAGTATGCTGCATTATAACATCTGTCACATTTACCCCAAACAGTTTTAAAATCAGTTGAAAATTGAGATAGATAGATAGATAGATAGATAGATAGATAGATAGATAGATAGATAGATAGATAGATAGATAGATAGATAGATAGATAGATAGATAGAT